TATCAGCTATGTGTAAATGTGCTGTATTTTCTTGACTTGAGACTGTTTTGCACATGAAAAGGATAAAATTGAATAATTTCAACTTACCATTTATTTCCTGTACAATTTGTTATATGTGTAACACTGTATTAAAGTGTGTGACCTGAAGTGAGATTTTTTTTTTTTTTTCAAATTACAGCAACCCTTGTGTTGCCGGAGAGGCCAGGTCCTGGATGTGGGTATGCCGGGGCACTGCCTAGGAGGGGTAAGGCCTAGGGGAAGCATTTCTGGGTGCTGGAACCTCTCTCTCTCAAACATATAATCCCTAGGTCAGCAAGAGGGGGTTGCCGTAGTGTTCCTGCTGTTCATTCAAACACCCTTTAAAATTCTTAATGCTGGTGTCTTACATAGTTTGAATTAAATTTCAAATTAAATTCTCTCTCTGAGCCTATCTTACTGAGCAGGGACAGTATTATTTACCATTACTGTGAGCTATAATATGGTTCATACTGCGTTCTCACACGTATTTATGTTGTTGTATGCCCACTGAAGCATGGTCTTTTGTTTTTAGGCATTTACCATGAAGTGGGCGCTCTACACGCTACCAGACTATCTCTGGTCTTGAATGGCTGCAGTAATGGTGCTCTTTTTGGAGAACTAAGGTTCAAGTTTTAACTTCTCTGCTAAAGTTATTAGTTGTAGACTCTCCAGCAGGGGAAAATACCCTGAAACAGAGCAAAGGCTGACAAAACAGGGCATTTCCTTTTACTGTGTTCCACTGAGGAGTCCAGTGGGATCTTTCAGATAGTAACAGAATTCTAGACTCCTCATGTACGTTTTTCCCCTTCTTATGCCATACTCTTTCATCGTGCATTTCCAGGAGGCATTATAATAGATGGATTAAAAGAATCTTAAACATCATTTCTTTGAATCATTGCCTTATGTTTAGCTGGAATTCATTTGTTTACAGAAAAGCAGTGGAGTACAATAATTAGAATTGTCATGTTTGAAGCTTTTGGGAAACTAAATGAGTGCTGGGTGACTAGATTACAGAGAAGACACTTGCTTCAAGAGAGCAAAACAGGGTGTGCAGAACAACAGCTCTCATCGTGGCACTTGTGGCGGAGACAAGCAGCAGTGTGTTCTACTTCAAGTTCTCCAAAATACATGTCAAAATTGTTCATGTAACAAATTAAATAGGTTATCATAGATGAAGACTTTATTTGATAGTACATAATACATTTTGAAGTCTGCCACTATATCTAGCATTTAACCTGTTCTGGAAGAAAAGAAGGAAAACCGATCTGTATACTAGCACTAGCAGTGCAAATCCAGTTCTGCAGGGAAGGGGGCCATGCATCAGGGGCTGCCCTGACTCTTGAACAGAAAGTCCTCTGATAACTTTGAACCATAATGTTTAGCCTTTCGTACCGCTAACTACATACCTCATGTCCAAAACTAAGACAGCACAGGCCTCTTGCTCCTGTTGGAGAGCACGTGGTTCTCTGGCTCTGTGCTGCCCTTGCTGCCTGTCGATACCTCAGGCTACCAGGTAAGTTCAGTCCAGCTCTGCAGTATCTCCAGTCGGTTTATTTAGCTTTGTCATCTTTCACTGCCAGGAGGAGAGGGCAGAGTAGAAGGCAAGAGCAGACCTGAATTCTTCCTTTGCCAGTGGCTTGTGAAGAGGTCTGTGGGGTTCTTTTCATCACAGGGGAGCATGCATTGTCAGCATTAAAGTATTCAAAATCTACAGCTCAGGTGCATAAATACTAAATTGCATGACAAATATACATCATTTACTTCACCTTTTAGTCTCAGAGACCATGTATCACTAGACTTTAGTAGAGAAGTTCATGGTTTTACCTTTCCTTTTCTCTATGAGCAAGCATTTTCTGATTTTACATTGTAGTGGTTTTGTTTTTTTTTTTTTAAAAGGTACATAACTAGAAGTTGTTTACACAGAAGAACATTTCACAAATATTCACCTTTGAAAAATGGAATACATAACATGACTTAGTAAGTTCTTACAGAACACACGTTGATGCAAGCAAACATATGTAATTATCTTAGGGGAACTCTCCATGAAGTTAAATCTACCACAGGTGATGGATTTATAGCGAGTTTTGAGAAGAGGCTCTGAAGCAGATAGCCCAAGCAGTAAAAAAACTTACAATAATTCCATTTTCAAACACCATTAAATTCCAAGTACTCGAAGGATGACCCTAGTCAAAACACCTTCTATTCACTTCATAGAGAACCAACTCATGTTGGTTGGAAAAAGACAATTTTTTTTAAACATGGTATACAAAGTTGGTTATTACACCAACCCCCTTTTCCCTGAGGCAAAACATCGTGTCTAGCAGTTTTTAAAAAAAGGAAGAAGAAAGAATGAACAGCTTTAAAACTACTGCTTTTGAAGGCTGCAGAAAGTTTCTGCGTTTGCCTTTGACTCTGCTTTAATGCAGAGGCAGAGCAAAAATCTGCATCAGACTGTATTGCTGCCACAGTGCTTCTGAAGTCATGTGGGAGCTGTGCAGTGGGGACTGCCACGTCATTTTGCTGTAAAAAGCAGCATGAAGGACTTTTTAAAGATAGAAGGGAAAGAAGAACCATCAGGGAAGAACAGAAGCAGGAACCAAACGCTTAAATACCTTTACAGGATTAATACGTGCCTCAGAAGGACACTACGAATGCAATTCAAATGTGTTGTGAGTTAAGTTGGTATTATCCCTTGATCATTTTCTTAAATAACTTTCACCTAGGCAGTGTTGCCAGCATCCATACACATGAATACTTCTCCTTTCTCCCCAAAGTAGCAGTTATGCACCCAAACAAAAGCCACAAAGATTTCAGGTAGCAGAAGAAAAGCTCAGGTTAGCCCACTGGAAAGAGCAAGCTTTTTTTTTTTTTTTTTTCCTAAAACCAGACCTGCATTATTTTGAAACCTAGTTTTAAATGCTTTAAAATTAAGCTCCATTTCTCGATTGCAGAGGAGATGGATTCTACACAGCTTTTCCCCTCATTTAAGCAGCATTTCTGTTTTCAAGCATGGCAAAGGAAAAAAATAAAAAAATAGATCAAACATCACTGAAGGCTGCTCACTCATCCAGAAATAGGCTATAAAGGCCACATTTAGAAGTCCCAGAGCTTGTTAGCAAGAACAATATTGAGCTTCAGTTCAGACAAAGCTTAACCATCAGATAGCTAACAATTGTTCGAGGTGCCTCAGCACAGGAAGCAGTTGCCGCATTCAGAAGGCAGATCTCCCAAATTTCTTAATTTGGGAAGAGAAAAGCAAAGTCCACACCTACAGCCTTCATACTGGCAGTTAAGTACTTACTGTTAAGGGAGGCCTTTTACTGCACCTGAAGCAGCACACTGGAGGCCTGCGCTGCAACCCATGCGGCTATGCTCATTTAGAACAGTGTTCACTTCAGTCTTCTCTTGGGAACTATTTTCAACAATATCTGCTAGTTTTAAACAGTCTCTGCTTTGCTTTAAGTATAACCCCATTATGTTAAACACTAGGAAGTAGTGCAAGAACTACATCTGAAAACAGGAAATTTAGGTATAAGTGGTTTATAAGAGCACAGGAGATAAAAAACCAAAAGAGGCTTCCCCCACTCTTTGTATTCTTTAAATGCACAAGCCATTCACTATTTTTTCTATTTGCCAGGGGAAGGAAGAAGGAATTGATCAGTATTTAAGTGGCTGAAGAATGTATCAGCAGGCCATTGCTACATTTTCACGGACACGAACATGTTGTATACAAAGCAGGCTAGTTTCAAGCAAACCCAGTTAGGCACAGTATCTTGAATCCACTAGTTTCATTTTAGTTAAGAACCTCCTGCGGAGCACTCTTACTCCAAATGCAGCGAAGGATTTGAACCCAGTTCCTCTGCATCACACGTGCTTGCTCTAAAACCACTTGCCCATTAGTTACCATCTTTTGAAGAAAGCTGAAACGTAATTTAAGTACTGGCTAAGGTTCAGAATCTTATTCTTTCTCTAAAAAAAAATAAAGGTTGAAATGACACCTATTCAATCCCTTAACAGACCTTTCCCTGGGAGAACAGCTGTGGTTGCAACACTATCCCAACTGAGTACAAAAAGAAGATGGAGGAAGTGCAGCTCAGCCATGCTTTTGGAGCTGGTCCTCTCAACAACTCAAAGCCTGCTAGCCCTTCACTGGCCCACTGGTCAAAAAAAGGGCCATTTAGAGAGTCAAAAAGCATGGGAAGGTTCAGCCTGTAAGCAAAGCATAACACCAGCTTAACATGCCACCATCATTTGCATATAGTAAGTCTACTGGCAAAAGAAGAATAGTTTTTATCTGATTTCCTGTGATTTAGCTACTGAATCCTGCACTTACCAAACTGGAAGTTTGCATCAGCAATTAAAAAAAACAGAGACAAAAAAAAAAAAAAAAAAAAAAAAAAACCACCAAACAACCCACTCTCAAATTACTGTTTGTGTGTAGAATACTCATTCCAGGTCATCACTGGGCAGCTGTCAGAACGTCACTCTGAAGTACTATAATTACAGACACCAATTTGCTTTTACTCAGCAGCAGGTGGTGGTAGTATTTTGTAAACCCTGTAACCAAACAATTTAATATGCAAGGTATTCCCTCTGGAAGCTTTGTAAACTGGGTTTAACCTGCACCAAAAAGCAGTTAGGAATCAGAAATTGAAGTTAACGCCAAGCAGATATCCATTGTGCCGCTCAGGTTCAGGTGTCCTTTTTGGGAGCGGCAGAAGCTGCAGAACCTCCCCAGGGGCTGCCTGTTTATTCCTTGCTTCAGTCTTAATTCGAGGTTTACACTTTTCTTGGCCAAGGAGTTTTCATACACCTCCCAATGCCAGGCTCCAGCCTTCACAGTCCCTGCAAATTATTATGGTATCCTTCAGAAGCTGGACATAAGCAGTCATTTAAAAACAAAGAACAAAACAAACAAAAAAAATAATCAGGAAGCAAAAATAATGCTGGGCAAAAGGTTCAGACCACAGAAGGCATCAGAATAAAGTATTCAGTGTTTTACTTCTTGTCTGAACAGTTCTGTCAGCACAGCCAGTCTTACATACAATAAAAAGCATAGGTCTGAAATACCTTCTCTATGAAAATACCAGAAGGCCAAGAAAGGCTTCAAACTGGACAATAATGGGAATGTTTACCTTAAAGTAAAAGACTTTTCAGTCAAGGATCCGATGGGAAGATTGCATGACCGATTTGCTTTCTAAAATGATTGGTGGCTCTGAGATGAGGAGGTCATCCTCACCTAGTGAAGAGTTCTGCTCAGTGTTCACAAAGTTAGGAATGTTAAATTTTGTAAGACAATTTAGGTCCTCCTCAAACATTCCACTGCTCCTGGGAACTTCCTGGAAGTGGATATTACTTTCCCGACCTGGACCTTTCCGACTTTGTTTTGCTTTGTCCAAATGTTCCGCTTCATTAATACTGAAATGGAAAAGTGACCGGGATTCTTCAGCTATTTGACGAGAAAAGACCCTCTCTGATTCTAGAGGTCTTCCAAAATCTGCCACAAAGCTATTCATGCGAAATCTTTTTTCAGAAGTTTCTGCATTGCTAAGGAGGAAAAAGAAAAATACAGTAAGCGAGAAAGTAGAACTATCAGAGTTCTTAACAGCAAATTTGGTTCCAGCAACCATTATGATCAGGAAGAAAGGAAACCCTACAGTTTATCAACAACAGACTTTAAAAGCCAGCACTATTTATTATTTTCTGCTGAAGCTATTTTAAGTCTTGATTTGTCATGATAATTTTCCATGGGAATAAGTTATCAATGCCAGCACTCTTAAACAGGACTTCTAGTCAATATACTTTAATAATCAGCTCACTGAATGAGCTCAGAAATACTCTTCAGTATTTCCTCTTGACATCAAGTAGTATCAAGTAGGAACAAGTTTTTTAAAATGGCTTATAGAACACTTTGAGAAAAATCTTTGATAGAGAATATCTTTCCGAGATACAGGCAGCACTGCTGTTACTAAAGGCATAATTTGAGTGGTTGGTTGTCCAGACATCAAACCATCTTTTCCACTGACTTCAGTCAATGACATTCAGATTTCCAAATCAGGAGAGCTGGAACTAGAGACTGCTATAAAGACTGGCAGTCTTAATTCAGACACATAGCCCAGGAAGGACATCTTAACGTCTGTCTTGGGAGTTTTCCAGAAGCGTTAGCTCAAACCAGCTTCAATCTGCATAGACATGCATGGTATGGAGCCATGAACAGCTGAGAGTGAGAAAAGCTCAAACTAGACAGAAGTTTTACAGATACATTCTTTGTCAAAATGCAAGTTATTTGCATCTGAAAGGCAGCGGAGGCATTCAGAGGGTGAGTAGCAAAAAACCTAAACATTCTCACAATATAAGTTTTGTTAAGTAAGACTTAATAAATCATACTTTTTACATGTGAACATGTAGCGTGTTACACTGAAGCCAGATAGTTGGACCCCTAAGGATGCACACAGCACTTAAGAGATTTTTCAGAGAAACACGGTAATTTAATTCCCTCCAGCCTGCAGCAGGAGGTAAGTGCCTACATGCTTCTGAAAGCCTCTGAAGGCACCTTCAGAAATCTGCCCCTAAAACCTTCCAGTTCACAGGATACCTACCATTAGCCTTTCAGTGATAGTTAACTTAAAGATCCTTGCTTCTCAAATGCTAATTTACTTCCTTACATGATACAAGAACTGTCCTAATCAGTTACACTAGCCTTCAAATCAAAGCAGTCCTATAGTTTAATCAAAACTGTATTGGCTTATTCTGCATTTCGAAGTGAAGCATGTAGAAGCATAACGTTTAAATTGATGCAAGACAGACCAGTAACTAAGTAATCATCTAGTGTATACACACCAAGAGGCAAACAGACTGGAATAATACTGTGGTAGCCTTCAGAACTGACAACTGACATTTACGTATTTATAATACAACAGAGATCACCGCTCTGAATTTAAGTTGCATACAGTTTTGCAAGTCTGTCGCCAAGAGTTTCTATGTAGTATTGTGGCACAGACAGTCCATGGAGGTGGCAAATCAGCACAGAAAGACAGACAAGCATTATAAGCCTAGGAAGAAATAACTTTGTAAGAAAGCTTAACATGCATCCATTAGAGAAGTAAAACCAGTTCATCGGTGTGGAAAGTGCTTTATAATCCAGTGAGCTATGAAAGAGCAAAGGCTGACTGTAGAGAGGGGCTCACAAAACTGGCAATGGCAACCTACTCTAAATGGAAGAATAGAGGATGCAAAGAAACTTTATAATGAACCAGGATGTTGTGGACATACGACAGAGAACAATCCTGTGCTAATGTGTTACCGCAAACCGGTCCAAAAAACTTTCTAACGAATTTGGCATTTAGAAAGTAGGCGTTCTTTATTGCAGCGCTGGATGCATGGGGGATATCTCCGCCTAACGTGCATACCGTCGTACAAAACTACAGCATATTTATCAGGTTACATGATTAGTACTGACTAAATTAACTTTACACTTATTGGTTAGTGATTAACATTGCATACACTATTGGTTTACTGTATTTAAATTAGCCTCGCTTGCTATGTAAATTAGCACGCATGCTCCTTTCAGGTGTGGGGGGGCAAATCTTTTTGGTCCTGAATCGAGTCAGTGGTCGCGATCTCCCCTTGCCGCATTTACCTTTCAACCTTTCACCCAGTTTCTGCAGTTTTATCAAACGTCATGGTTCTCTGGCCACTGTCCAGTCTTTGGTGCCAAGATGTTCCCTTTTATCAGTCTGTTAGCTCTTCTTCAAGGCTAGAGCCGTTAGTTTGCTACAGTTTGTTACTTATACACCCACTTTCATGTCTTTTAGCTCCCTCCCAAATTCCCTTCCCAAGGCACAAGTGGTTAGTAGTTTTGCTAATTGGAAAATTACTGTTTCTGTTTAGCTTTAGAAACTATTTACAACAGCATGTCGGTTTGCGTGGTACGCCCTGCATATGCATGCCCCATGCGTGCGCTATGTGTGGGTGCACGCAGTGTCTGTGAGCACTTCATGATACCCTAAGCTAGGGTATCAAATGAGGAGAGAACACATGATCTAAAACGCAGTCATATTTTCAGATTCTGAGATTCACAACACCACTATCCTCCTGTATTTTGGGAAGGAATTTTTTTTTTTTTTAAAGTAGACTAGAAACTTGCATAGTCTTGTTCATTACAGTATGCAAGTGTACCTCAGTGTGTATCTTTTCAGAACACTCAAAATAAGAAGTGCCAGTTTTACTGTGGAAGGGAGCACAGCCTCCTGGACAATCAAAATCCCTTTTGCAATATGTGGGACTCTCAAAGTCCCAGAAGCTGCCAACAAGAGATCAGGAAGGTGAATGCCAGACACCTTGAGCATCACACGTCCTGAAAACCATGCAAAACAAGCAGTTGCCAATAAACTAACCCAATCTCCCTTTTCTGGGAATCTTCCAGCCTACGATGCTGGGTTCTGGTCTGCTGGATTCAGTGTTAAGTTCTGGACTCTGCCCACTGGACTTGAGTGCACTGTCAGGGTACAGACCATTTTGCCCAGTATACCCTTCTACCAGAGGCATACTGGTTTGGGACTGACACTTGACATTCCTCTCTAGCTTAAACACCCGTTCTCTCAACACTCCCTGAACTGACCTGAGGTACTTGGCAAACCATGGAAAGGAATAAGTAGCCAATCCTCCAAAATAGCAGGGTTTGGCATCCTAAAGGGAACTTGGGGCATCTAAACAGATCCTTAATACCAATCCAGAAGCGCTACCATGAACCTGAGAAACCTTCCTGAATAAGTTTTCAGCAAACACATATATGTATCTGTAGAAGTTTTTGTTTCAGTGGATCTGCATTTCTCTGAGTGGATTTCACCCCAGAATCCTTAGCCAAAACCAACTGATTTCTTAAAAAAAGAAAAAAAAAAATTATCAGTCATTTCACCTTTACTGCAACTAATTGTACAACCTGCCTCAATAGCTGCATGAAGCTTTGAGATTACATCAGCCAAGATTTTGTACAGATAGGTTACATGAACACGTGCATTTGCTGCACAAATGTGTTTTTAAGGACATTTTTAAATGCAGAAACAAACATAGTGTACTATCTTCTCCCGAGCGATTGTCTCAACACAATTTTTTGTTGCACGAGCTAATGTTCTACACATACTAATATGCAAAGAAACAAGAGAGAAGTGCAACAGGCATCATTTTTATAACTAAACTTCTACCTCTCCCCATCCATATCCTGACCCTTTTCTTCTGGTCTGAGAATGTACCCAACTCTGAACACCTTGTACAATTTTGAAAAGTACATGCTATCATACCCCTTTATACTGAGCCAAGAAAAGCATGCTACTAGAAAAATCAGAGCATTCTACTTTGGATCCATCCATCTGAACCCAGTTACACTTATCTCTCACATTAATGGTACTTTAAAGAACAGCCAAATTGACTTACTGAAGTCAGAGACATGTCCATCAATCAGGCTGGCTTTCTCCCAAGACCTAGGAATCCCATTAACATCTATTTCTAAAGGAGGGCTGCAAGACAGCCCAGTAATGAAACAATGAGTCATGAAGAACCCAGTCAGCTTTAAAGACAGAAGATGCAGGCAAATTAAAACCACAGTCTGCACTGGTTTTACAGGTAGGTATTTATGTTCTCCAGTTTTTATATATGTGTAAAGAAAAAAACCACCAAAAAAACAAAACAGGAAACAACAGTATTTATTGCCCTTAGCATATTCCTGGATGTTCTATTTCTAGTACCATACCAAGTCTCAAAAAAAATAGTGCTCAAATTTGTTAAAGGTGCCAACTCAGCATACGTAATAAGTGGGCAAGCATTCAAGCACACAGCTCGCAAAGCTGCAAGGAAGTTTAAAACAAATACACAAAGGAAATGACTGGGCTCTCTTCAGCAACTGAAGAGAAATCAAATTAAGATTTAGGCTGGAAGGGACCTCTGGAGGTCTCTAGCCCAATGCCCTGATGAAGGCAAGGCCAACTCAGAACTCAGATCAGGTTATCTGAATGTAGAGTTGACCAAAGATGGAGGTTTCACAAACTGTGAAACAGGCAGCCTGTTCCAAGAAAATTGATGAAGAAAGCAGAAACACAGTGGGAGATATCAAGCAGCCCTCTGCTACCTGAAAGTACATTTTTACAAGTGTACAAACTTTTGACAAATATCGGTATTAAATTCTCTTTGTTGTATATTTGACTTCTTCACTTCTTCCGCTCTCATTATTCACGTAGGATACAGACTCAGATGCTCAGCTAAGAAACAAGATCTCCAGGGAAAAGCAGCAGCACACCAACACTTACAAGGACTTTAAAAATATATTTGGGAGCAGGGTCTGGCTACTTTATGACAATCTGTAAGGGAGGCAAAAAAAAAAACCACCCATGAAATTCAGCAAGTCACTTCTGGGAAGCTGAATTCTTCTGCCTCTATTTCCTTCTCACAGAAGCAAAAATTTAGGAGCACAGAAGAGGTTCACAATAAACATATGTCCTCCCTAATAGGGCTCTGCCTCTAGAGATGTGCTATTACATGAAGTTTCCGAGCCAGTCTACATATGACTAAATAGCAAAGGGCCTTGAGTAGGCAGAGATAGGCAGGCTGCTTTAGGAAGTCATAAGCACTAACAATTGCCTTTCACAATCAGTTTCTCATCATTACTACCTGCCTGCAAGCAATCTCACTCTCCAGAGAGCCTCTTTATTTCTACTTTATGGCATGCAAGCCTGAGACACGTGGGTTCAAACTTTTCCCAGAGGAAAGGACGCTGACAACTTGTGTGCTGTGCAAATGCAGATAAATGATTGAGGCAAGGCATGGTCTGCACGTACTTATCAGCTGGAAAGAACAAGAAAAAGAGATTTGTTTGTGAGTTTCAGGGGACCCTGGTGTTAAACACGTGTGGGCTGATCTGTACTTCAGCATCTACTGGAATTTCTCAGCAAAAACTAAGACACTCTGACACTAGGGGAGCTATATGGTTAAGGGAAGATTTTGTAAATACTACCAATATCTGCCTTCTGGACTTGAACACACAAACATGTGGAAACCCTCCAGACTTCAAACTTCCTCAATTTAACACCTGCACTGCATTTTATTTGTATATACTCTGTCAATATGCACATTGCTCTGTTCCACTCCATCATAAGGTTAGCCTACCTAGAATGACCCCATTTATTTGCAGAACAGTAATCTAAAGCCACCTTTGGCAGCCTACCCACCAACTCCATTTTAGCATGAAAACGCATACATGCAGCTTCTTACGGCATGCCAACTGACTATTTGCTAAATAGGGAACGCATTAATAACAATTCTGCAGAACTGCTCTCCTAGAAGTGCTTGGAACAAAGATTATTTGAAACAATGACAGACAGCACCCTTTCATAAGAACAGAGAGGAACAAGATGGTGCTAAGTCAGTGCAACATCAGCGCTGTCACTGCTTGTTTGGGTGCTGCAAAAGAACAGACACACCATTTAGCAGGCTGGATTTGTTATTCCAGTTTTCAGACTCACTCTTGATGTGGTGTTCCTGTCTTCGTCAGCAGGGTCAGGACAAAAAACATGAAGATGACAAAAACTGCAAGACCAACCCAAAATCCAATCACAATGGAATCTGGTGAAAAAGAGAAAACAAGATGATCAGTATTTCACCTGCACTTGCAGAAAGTTCCCTTCCACATGCAGCATGACTCCAAAACCCAAAAGACTTTGCATCTTATTCCTGGATGGCAAAGAAGGAGGACAATCAGATTTATCTTTATCTATTTTTAAACAGAAAGTAGCCTCTGAAGCTCTCATCTCTAGCCTGAATTTTACTGATGTCTGGACAAACCAAAAACAAGCTGAAAGAGGGAAGACACTGAATTCTCTTGGTTAGTAAAAGAGGAGCAGCTCCCTTTGTGATGCCTGGCCCATGTCCAAGCATTACTTTGGAAACAACTTCAGTGCTAGAACTCAGGAGAGAGGATTATTTGATTTTCAGCAAAAACCTCTATCCCTGTAGAACTTAACTCCTGCTATTTTAAATTATTTTAAATGTACCTACTGTTCTCATTTACAGCAAATGGACCTGTAGATAAATTGTCAGTCCTACTTAAAATAAATCTATGCCCATTTACAACACCAGAAAACAAGGAATCAACTATCCTGCCTGTTGCTTAACTGCAACAGTTAATCACACTCCCACAGTGAAATATCTTCCACGTTAAAAGGCAGATCTGGAAACTGGAAACCAATTCAAACCATTTGCTCTTTCTCTGCAAAGTCAAAGTGCCTGCTGCAACTTGAGATCTTCTCCCTGTGAAAATACTTTATCACAACCAAGTCACTCCTCAATCCCTTTTTCTGGTAAGCTAAGGAGGTTAAATTTCAAGTCTCTCACTGCAAGGTTTATTCCATCTCTCCTCTGCCGCATCCCCCCCCCTCCCAACACCCTTTGTAAAATAACTAGATGGTGGTTTGAGTATAGATTTCCATGATGGCGGGGGCGGGGGGAATTTGTAATATTCCTTTTTGCTTAAAGCACACTGGTGTAAGTTTATTTCTGTAATTCCATGCATTATGAGCCCTAAATTATTTTCAGTGTCATTCTATAAGTATAGCCTGTATTCAGTGGTTCAAGATGCATCTTGTGTTTGGCCTTATTAATACACAATAGCTCATGATTATCTACCATCCTACCAAACTTTTCAGTACCTGAAAATTTAATCTAAAAAGAAATACTCCCATTAAAAAATTCACCACTTAACCATTTACAGCTATTATTACCTACCAATTAGTCAGATATACTTCAATGATATGCAGCTGCATTGATAACCAGAATGTAAAGTCTAATCAAGTAAGATGTCTTAAAAACATGCACATAGATTATATTGATCAAGCTGCAAAACTTAACTCATCAACTAAGGAAAAAAACTAAAGAAAAAATAAATCAAGATTCTGATAAACTGCTACTCCCCACAAAAATCACACCTGACAGCATTGTGTGCTCCTGTAATTCATGAATAACAAGCCTGTCTTGTGGTTTGTTTGGTGTTTCCCCCCCCAACAGAATTCCTAAATTTACTGAACATACGGCAACATCTTCCTTGCTTTATTGTGACTCCTGACACACTCCCAACCCTCTGCTTTATCAATTACATTCTTTGGATTTGTTTAAAATTAAAGCAGGTGGCCTGAGTTCTCTTCAGTATTTCATTTAGGTCTCACTCATTTAAGTGCAAGTTATCCAAACCTACTAACTTCTAAACATTTATTCAAAATAAACAGTACATAACACAACATTCATTCAAAAAATATGGTATGTAGGACAACATTTATAATACTGTCCCAAGCTACAAATAGATTGGGAAAGTATCCCATGACTTTCCCAAGTTACCATATCAGCCTTCCTTTCCTTCCTAACACAGACTCATAACATTCTGGCAGCAGTTCTGATCATTCCTACCTATTTGACCTCTCTCTAATGTTACTGAGGTTTCTTCTGATCCAAAGGCACAAAAAAGGATTTTGTTCGTATCTCTGCCAGTCAAAGATATTTCCTGGCTATCTTTGTCTATTTACTTTCTAAATTTTAATTTACAAAGCATCTGGTGCCTGCTTTTCTGGATTTTTCTGATTTCTAGTTCCTGCCTTCACTTCTCCTCAGGCAGAACATACTTTTTGACTGTAAAACAGGTGGGGTTTTTTTTTTTTTTTGCAGTCATATATTTGAAAAGTCACTGTGGCATCTGAACACCTCATCTTCTCCCCATCTGCCCTTTTTTTTTTTTTAATAAATGTATTTTTTCATATTAGATTGTTTTGTGAATATTTTTTCTTCACAGGTCACTTTGCATAAATTTTTCTCTGCTTTCAGAAAACAGGCTTCTGAATTCCTTTGTATATGCATTAAATTATTAGGAACCTCCACTTGCCTACAATTAATTAAATCAACATTAATCCAAAAGTGGCCTCCAACTTTCTCTTGTGGAATTCATCTTACCTTATGGTTCTAAACAGTGCCCTCTCATGTTGGGTAAAATACCTTGTGTATCAAAAATAAATTAAAAAATAATAAAAAAAAAAATCACACACCTCTAATTTTAAGAAGGGCCAGTGGTGTTTTACAGCTGGCCAACTGTCACTGCCAGCCTGCATCACTGAAACCGGCATCCACTCCCCTTTTAAGTTCTCTAACATAAGTTACAGGTATTCATTAACACTCCTTCTCCACTTTTGCTGTTTTATTTTCTCTTAGACTCTTTTCTGGACTTTGGTAGTGTTCACATTCATATATCCAACAGCATTCAAAGACCATCCCACCATAAAAGTGCTTCCTGCTCTCACAGCAGTACAGTACAAGTGTCCTACTCAGCCACTTCTAATTTTCAGTACTCGGACTGGATGAGCTGATGTTCCCTAAATGGAGTGGTACCACTGACATTTTCTCCCTGCACCACACACCTCCCCACCAACTGGCCAGGCCATTTATCCCCTTGGCTTCGTTACAGCTCACAGTACAACTGTACAATATACCTATGAGCCAACAGCACCATTTTAACTTTACACTGTAAGCCAGATCACTGAAGCAGCCTCTCTCATTGCTTTCACCTCAGTTTATATTACTGATTTGAATTCCACCATTACTACAAGTTACAATAGCACACCTGAAGGAGACAGTATTTCCAAGTGGTAATATGTCTACAAAGCCCCAACCCCACCATTTGTGACACCTGCCTCTACAAAGTTTATCTTTGTTAGCAGAAGCTGAAACTAAGCCTACTTGCAGCTATGCCAAAGGCTATGAGAGTTAAGATTTCTTACATGGCCACAAAAAAAAGCCAATAAATCAAAAAATGAGGATTTGCGAATATTCAAAGTCTCCCTCCTAACACAACCCCAGTGTAATCTCTCCTCCTTCCTCCTCAGGTTAGGATTTCAGTGAAGTTAAATGTCGGACCACATTGCCTGCACATTCCTCAACAGTCTCAACACAGCTGGAAACAGCTAGAACAAGAAACATATCAAGAACATACCATGTCAAGAAATATCATACCATACACAACACAGACATAGACTGTTCCTTTACTAGGTTAAACCTAGCCCTCTGAGAATGCATGCTGTAACACCAGAGTAAACAGAACGAACTCCAATCTATCAGTTTAAAAAAAAAAAAAAAAAAAACCAAATCAAACCCCAACCAGAAGGGACTTCTTAGGTCACTGATTCAATACTGCTATTAATCTCTTTCTTTCATCAGTACATGAAGCTCCACCTGAAAAGTAGCTTCTTCTGTCCCATTCTCTTATTAAAGCTGTCCAGAACCCTCCTGCTCTACAAACAGCACAGCCAGACAGCAAAGCTGAGCTGCCACACTTAGCATGGCAATCACTTCAATAGCAATCCAAGATCCATTTTGCCACTATACCTTCTGCAATCCAGAGGTAACTATCACTTATATTTTTTTCTTCTGTCACACTCTTTGGCACACCGAGCTAAAAGGAAGGCATGTACATAACACTGCAGCTAATCTTAGTAATCGGTAATCTTTGTAATCAGGTTTGGCCTCTGATTAAGTGGAAGAATGGAATATATATCAGAAACATGATAAAAGCTAACCTATATTTTTCAAGTACCTACCATTTGTAAAAATACAGTCAGTAATCAGCAGACTTTGGAAAAAAGAAAAAAGGTGAAGTACAATTCAGGCTAAAAAGCAACTTCTGCTCTAGTTCTTTTAAAAGTTATTAAGAGTTTCTTCTGACCCTTACAGACTCTCCCCAAAACCTCCTGACAGTGCAGAGCCAAGGGAGATCAGCCTTTCTGGGCTACTGATTGCCACTGCAAGCACTCCTCTTTCCCAGCCTGAATCCTCATCATGATGAACGAGGCAGAAAGTATGTATCCCACCCAGTGCTCCAGCACTGGAGACACTTCCCCAAGATTTTCAAGACTGGCGCTCAAACCCTCTCACAGTATATCCAGCTCAGAAACAAAGAAACGAAATGATTTGCTTCTCTTTGCTCAAGTGCTTACAAGACACCTCCAGTAATTCTGAGTTAGTCTCTGTTACTTTTTTTTTAACCCACACCCATCTCCTTCCCCCTCCCAAAAAAAAGAAATTTCATAAAAGTCAAAGCCATGGCCTTGACTTTAGATAAATGTTGGTCCAGCTGTACTAGCTTGTCCTAGCTAAATTTCCTCTCAATTCCTACCCATAGTTTTTGCCTCTCTGCTCCCTGTCCTCCGCTTGTTACTTCTACTGTAAAACAGCTCCATATTAGCAGAATGCTGAATTTAGCATGCTCCTCCTATGAAGCCTCAATGACAAAAAGTTTCTTCAGAAAGAGAAATTTGTTCTTTTAAATCTTTTATAGCCTTAAATTTATTTTCTATGAAGAAAAACAAAAGCAGTAAGGCTGCCCACCACTGCCCTTTAAGCATTAACAGCAACAAGAACAGAGCAAAACGCATCATACCAAGTAGTCACCAGAAGCAGCTGTATCTGCTGTTATAAACTGTTCCTGATCCTCTGATACTCCTCAGTATTGACAAATTTCTACCACAGGCAAGAAATCCATGGTTCTCATGCACAAGAAAAGCAGCCAATGAAAAGACATAGAATTATAAACAATTACAATAATCTAATAAACAGAGTAATAACTAATTGCTGAGAATCCAAAAAATTAGGAGAAGAGATATTTTTTGTACTATAACCAGTTACAAATGAAGAGTAGGAACATTTAGATGGGCAAGCTCAGCTGCAATAAAGTGTATCTCTGCTGAACTTACATTTATGAGCCTTCAGGCCTTCAAAAGACACTGGTCCATACTCATAGTACTCGTACTCCCAGGTGTAATCAGAGTTAGACAAGGCCTGCTGGGAGGTTCTGTTAGAAATCAGCCTCAGGGCAGACATCTTGCACCTCAATAAATATATACCTGTGGATACGAAATGCGTTAATAGAGTCTACATACTTCTAGTGCATCTTTTGATTTTATACAGAATCCTTTCTTATTTATGGGATCTCTTCCTCGCCACTGTTCCCAAGAAGAGCCATTCATGCTTACAAAGGCTCTCTCTCACCTGTTCCTTTAAAATCCAGTATCACTGCCCCATCAGACAAGGCCATCACATTCCCTCCCATTCCTTCCCCAGTCTTTGCTGGCCAGTCACTGGTCAACACAAGAGCTTCTCTTCAATGGAAAGAAGAGAATCTATGTTCACTTCCACACAGATGCCTGTCAGTGCACACAGGTATCAAACCCAGGCTCCTCAGATTGAATATAGCTTTTATAGGTCAAAAATAGTAAATACCAAAGCCCACCAGCCTCAGCAGCTTAGGGTGAATGCTGCCATGAAAATCTGGATGGAGAAACAGCTCAAAGGGTTATATCATCCATATAAAGTCCAGCTGGCAGCTGGTTACCAGCAGTACCCCTCAGACTGATACTGGGCTAATAGCATTTAACATCTTCCTTAAAGAGCTGGACAATTAAATGGAGTGCACTTGTAGCAAGTTCCGGATTATATGGGGACAGTCAAGCAGACTGCTACTCAGAGGGACCTGGACAAGCTGGAGAAAGAGAATGACAGGAACCTCATGAGGATCACCAATGCAAATGCAAAGTCCTGCATCTTGGAGGGAGTAATCCCATGCAGTAGTACAGGCTGGGGGTTGACCGCTGGGGAGCAGCTCTGCAGAGAAGGACCAGCGATGGACAAGCAGCTGAAAGTGAGTCAGCAATACGCCTTGTGACAAAGAAGGCCAAGTATGTACTGGGCTGAATTAACAAGACTGTAGCCAGCAGGTCAAGAGAAGTGTTTATTCTTCTCTACTCACCACTGGTAAGACTGTAACTGGGGTACTGTTATCCGGTTTTGGTATCCCCCAATAACAGAAAGACATGGACATGCTGGGGCAAGTCCAATGGAAGGCCATCAGGATGGTCAAGGAGCTGAAGCACAGGATGCACAAGAGCCTAAGGGAACTGGGCTTGTTCAGCCTGGAGAAGAGAAGGCTCCTGCGAGACCCTAGTGCTGTCTACAGTTACAATTACAGTCAGAGGGTGCAGAGATGACAGAGCCAGGCTCTTTTCAGAGGTGCAGAGTAAGAGGACAAGAAGCAATGGACACAAACTGGGAAATGGAAAATTTAAATTAGATACAAGGAAAAATTTACCTGATCTAGTTGAACATGCTTTGAGCAGGAGGTTGGGCCAGATGACCAGCAGAGGTCCCTTCCAACCTAAATTTCTCTGTTCTAATAAACAGCTTCAATATGCCACTATTGAAGGAAAATAAAGCAGGAGTGTTTTTCCCCACAGATTAACAAAAACTGCAATGCAACATTAAGCATCATTAAATTGTCTTGATAGATATTTCTGTCATTACCACAACACTGCACTAGGGATTTGCATTTTGCAGAGTAATTTTTTCATAATATTAAGACAGTTTTATACATACCAAAAGAGAGCACATCTCTGTGCAAAACATCTGCTGCAGCAGCTGGAGTCAGGACATCCAACTTGAAACATATTACAAAATACTTTTTGTAAAAGCAAACTGAGCTTTGGGTAATTTTGCATTCAATTAAAACCCAGCAGGGTGAAGACTTCAAGCAGTTCATAAAACCGTTGCAATTAGTTGTCCTGTGGACAATGAAACTTCTCTGAACAAAGTCAAATCCAGACAAAATTTCTCAAAAAGGGCCCTAAATAGCCATGCCACCCAAAATAATTGAATCTTCAGTCCTTCCTAAGGATAATTAGATTGACTAACGCTGTGCGAGTAAAGCACATCATTCAAATGCTAAGGGAGCCATACATAAAGAACAGGAATCAGGCACAAAATGAGGAACACAAATTCACACGGGGAATATGAACAGCTTTTCAAATTTGTAAAAAAGTTCTTTCTGCAACCATTTGACCATGAGTAAATGCTGGCAGGAATGTCCCAAAACAATTTTAAATAAACAGTGAAGTATGCCTGAAAAAGTAAACTTCATACCCAGTTACAATGTTTAGAACCTTAAACACATACCAAAACTTGACCAGCAAGTGATAAATCCTTTAAAACAAGAAATGGATCTATTTCTCAACTCAAACCAACTTGGTTTTCACAGTGAGCAACTTCCCAACAGGAAGAGGGCGGGGGGAAGCAGGGAGAGAAGTGACCAACCCCATTTGCTTGGGTCAGGATAAGGAGCTTCACATTAACCTCACTCTCCTTTAGCCACTCAGAAAGCTACCAGCAAGAATAAATAGCCCGAAGCATAGAGGAGGAAGAAAAAAAGATGGCTGTAATGGACACTCCAGTTCATGGCTGAGGGTATTTCCCACCCTCAACTTCCAACCCTTAAAGAACATGACAGAAAGAGGTAAGTGTAACTTTAAATGACTGTGTTAAGAGTAAAGTTCCTCCTTTCCTTTCCTGGTGACTAGAAAAACCTTCTTATTTCCTGGAATCAAAGCAAGAATGTCTAATTAAGCTTTAGGCAGAGTTTTTCTTGGTTTTAATTAACGAAGGTAACCGCTGCCTTCTGGGAGAAGCAAGCCTAAGCACAGAGAATAACCTAAGATTCTTGTTCTAGTTTGCTCCCATCTCAGCTCTGTCAGTTGTCTCTTACAAGACTTCGTTTCATATTGTGACTGAGTCCTAAGAGACTACATGGTTCTGCACAGGGTTCCCACCATCTTTTTCCCCCTTCTCCTCAGTGTTTTGTTGATTATGTGTCTCTTGCCCAATGTTATTAGCACATTCCTGTTTAAGGACTGCTTTTCTCTTTTATAGCCTTCTAGAGAAGCCTTTCATTTAAATATTCCTCATATGGCATCACCAATGTTCATTGTCACCTCCTTGCCTTTAGTATTACAAAAAGAGCTGAACAGTAATCTGCAGGCAGAAAACTTCAGAGTAAGGTATATGAACAGTACAAAAAATGTTTCTTCTTCCACCTCAAGTGCAGATAGATTGGATCAATTGGGCCACATGCAGATCTCTCCTGATCCAGTCACTAGTGTCCATTTATGATTTACAGGGAGAATAGCCACTTCTAGGACACAAAGAAATCTGTCTTGTTTTAGTCTCAGGTTAAGACTAGAATCTCCAGCATCTTACCCCTGACTACAAGCGTTTCTAGGCTTACTTCCAGTGTAGACAAGCCACTATCGGAGGGAGAGGTGCTAACTGAAACCTGGGTCACCAGCTCCCAGGCTAAACCTTTGCCTCAGGATTTGTGGGAAATACAAAATATGCCTCTAAATGATCCAGTAGAGCTAAGCATAAACATTGTCCCAAACTAGCTTGCAGCTCACTTGTAAGCTTTGTCTGTCCAAATGCCTCCAAAACCTCAGCCTGAAACACGTTAAAGCAAACCTTTTCTACTTAAAAAGCCAGCCTAGCATGGTGGAACAAGGACCAGCACAGCAAAAGTAGCGAACATTAAGACCCTGCATCTCCCAAAGAAGAGCAAAGCAGGGTGAGCTGGCATGCTAGCAGCCTGTCACACGCATCTGCCAGGCTGCAGCAGGTCATGGAAGGACTGCGGGTGCCAGATAAGGGCTTCTAGGAAGGAATTCCCCCAGGAGATGCACTCAAGCAGTCTTTCTGCCAGGAGTGGACAGCAGTGATTCATCCCACAGCTCTAAGGCACAACAGGGATCTGCTCTAATTGACGTTGCTGAGGGTTTTTTTGTGGGAGCACAGGAGTTGTTTAAGGCAAACATGAAAACCCCTCTGTTGACTTTGATGTGTAGCAGGGCTGTGTTCAACGCTGCCAGCCAGGAAATTCAGGCAGGTCAGTCTCCTGGAAACTAAAAAGGGCAAGTGCTCATGGACTTCTTCTGGAGCATTGGGTTGGTCTCTGCAGATAAAGGATGTCAACAGGTACCCAGACACTCCCCACAGAGACACGACTGCAACTCCTGGAGTTGAATTATACCTTCATGAGAACTCGTGAAAGTTTGTAAGGTCACAGCTTGCCTGCCAGTGGTACCCGAGCAAGCCAGTTTGACCCTTGGGCTATATGTGCACAAAATCCACATCTTTGAAATGCAACAGTGGGGCATCAAACACTGCTACAGTTAGACTATTTGCTTTAATCTGGACATCATCAGCACATGGCACAATGCTTACAGCCACTTACCTTTCAAACTGAGTCACTGTAAAGGCAAAACTGGACACACACTGTATCTGAAGCACAACTTCAAGGCTTATACCACCACTGGGGCCACAAAGGCAAATCTGGTTTTGTGTACATCTGGAATTGGCCTTGTATGTAACCAGCAACAACCACCTCTGAACCTGACCTGCATGCACAAGAATAAATCCACGTGGACTGGTCAGTGTACTGTTCATTTCTGGAGCAAAAGAAACTACCAATACGGTAGAAACAAGCAACTTGGTAAATTTACAATCAAAAACTATATTTATTTTCCACATACTTCCATTCTGCTTACTGCCATAGAGTCTAAGCACTTTACAGTCTTCATAAAATAAATGAACAAACTGTTGGCCCCCTGCGAACTGTGAAGATCCCAAAAGCCAGGCAGGAAAAAAAAAAAAAAACTGTGAGAAGTCCTAGCCTGAGAAAGCTTCGCACTACACCCTGATGCATCAGCTCCATCAGCTAGGCAGTACAATTAACCCAGAAGTTGTTTATCTATGAGAAGTTAACAACTCAGGCTGTTCCCATACCCTGTAAGTCCTCATACCAGCAACAACATTCCACATGGGGGAAGAAGGGAATCACTCACCACCACCACCACATTCCTTTTTACTCCATCCCAAGGACTAAGAGGTGAGGTCAGAGGGAAAGAAGTCAACAAGGAAAGCAAGCACAAACTTATTTACTCTGCACTGCCTGAGCTGAAAGGTAATACAGACCCCATCTTTCTACAACCCTACTACATGGCTACTGCTTCAAACAAGCTGTGCGACTCCCAACCACTGACAAGAAAGGAGTCTGCAGGAAATACTTAACCAAATGGTCCTGGGTTCTTGCTAATTCTCAAGATCGTAGATGTGTAGGATTTGAGATCAAACTTGTGGTCTTTCCAGGGGAATACCAAATCTTCCTGCCTGTAACAAAAGAGAGGAAAGCAAGCTATACTAAACAAGTGAAATTTCACAACAAAAATAGAAAGATAACTGAAAACTGACTGTACAATTAAAAAAACCAAACCCAAAACAATCATACATGCTAACTGTGCGTGCATAACACCTGGGACTTTTCTTGGAGAGGAAAGAAAGTACCACTATTAATGTTTGTTATCTTCGTGATTGGTGCTCACCAACAGCATCATATGCGTGAGCTGTTGCACTAAAATAGCAAGAATGACGTTGCATTCATCACAAAAGGACTTTATAACAATGGTAAGAAAAAAATGCTGGTTTAGTCACTGCTTATCCTGGGAACTACGGATGAGGAATGACAAAGTTAGACATCTGTGCCTCATACCACTCTATTACACATCATTTAACATACATTTTATTATCCTTATAACTGTGCAATGTAAACTAGACTCCAACAATAAACTGCTTATACACCACACACAAATTCTCATGAAAATGTCTTATTTTCCATGTACTAATGCTTAATGTCTTGCACTGTGTGCACTGCAGTGTAAAAGGAGGTCTCCAAACCATTATATACAATTTGCATGCTAATTGTATAGCTACTGTTAGTACTTAATTTCAAAGCGATGACTTTATGACCTTAAAGAAAAATTTAACAAATAAAAGACCAAAACAGTTTGCCAAGTATTTTCCTAAGAGATAATAATGATATATGCAAGCACTAATGCCCACTCAAGTAGGGGCCACCTGGAAGTAAAGTAGAAACTAATATGAAAGCATACTGTACTACGAGTTCAAAGATAACTATATGGATTTGACAATAGATAGAGCAAACATTATATAAGCTCACTCATAAGCCTTGTCTGAGAAGACAGCTGAATTATACCTAACGCGGCATCACAGAAGCTGTGTATTCCTTCTGCTCTTAAAAAGTTTCAGCCCTGCACTGACAGTAAAGGTATGTGGAACAGTTAGTACAGAGCTATTGCGACTTGCTCCCAAAACGCACTGAAGCAAATAGCTTAGCTTAACTCCAGTACCAAAAGCCTTAAAAATTACAGCCAGAATACACAGTCTTAAGAGACAGTATTATCTACAAATAATAAAGATATGTTAGCCATAATTCCATTTATTTCCTGCAGCTAGGGCAG